ATTAAATTAATTTAAAAATATATAGTTCAATGACTGCTGCAAAGAAATTTGTGTCAAAATAAACTACTTCTTTATTTTGATCTTAAGAATATGAAACAGCTTGATTTCTTGTGAGAATAGTTTATGAGGCTTTTATTGCCACTTTTGAATTTGCTTTCTTTATGTGGATTTTTTTACGTTTATCATTCTAATTTACTCATTGTAAGTCATTTCGTCTGTACCGGAAGTTTTAAATACCTGACTATTTTATATTTTGCTTTGACTGATATGCATATATTTCCTAATTTAAATGTTTCAAATTGTAATTGTGTTGAGGTGAAATCGCGGAGATCAGCTTAGAGATGATGCGAATTTCAACTACGATTACAGACTTGAGGAATATTTCGACTCCTACTCCAGCTCTGAGAAGACGAAATATTGATAACATAAACTTTAGCAAATGCAACACGCGAGCATGCCCAACATGCAAAAGTCTGGTCCCACAAACACTTTTTTATTGTGCCTATATATATACTGTATATATTTTATGAACATTAGGATTAAATTTCCAGATTGAAGGATTTTCCTTCATTCTTTGTGTTTCTGTAATTTAGCATCTATTGTTTGGTTTTCTTATATATATATATATATATTCATTATTTTAAATTTTCTAATTTAAATTCTATCATTGTTCATGTAAGATTTTATAGAAAAAATTTTGTGCATTAAAATAGCTGAATCTTATGATTTGGTATTTTTTCGATTTTTAGCATCGTTATTCGAAGCATCTATAGATTTTTTTCGATTATGCAATTTGAATCACCCACAACGAATTTTAAACCACTCGCAAGTTAGGTCCATGCTACCTGAACCGCTAATCGGACGAGAGGCCGTGATTCACCGTATGATTATGTCGTATTATCGAATTTCCTCTCCCCTGGGATAAATATGTAAATACTATCCTAGGTACTACGCTCAGTAATAAACTTCCTCATTCCATTATGAGGCCACAGTACACATAACTTTTGTATGAAATTGGCCAGTTGAAGTTATACTTCACTGCTTGAATATTCTCGACTTGCAAATCGTAATATATGATGGTACCTGTCAATGCAACACAAGAGTTTCACAGGAATGCCTTCTACGCAAGCTGTAGTTGTTTCACCAGGACAAGTATGTTTCCAACTAGTGACAGGTGTTTGATCCTACACATCTTCAATGTCAGCACTAGGGCCACTTTATTGCCTACTGAGACAGATGCTTTAAATTCACCCAATAACATCTGCTTCACCAATGTATCAAGGATCACAGCCTACACCAGGGTGGTCCAAGCGGGCCACATGTGGCCCGCATCGTCATTATCTGTGGCCCGCGTCGCCTTTGCTGAAGGGTAATCGAAAATCGCATTTGGTGTTGTTTCGGTATAAAAATAACCATAAAATCTTCGACATCTTGTTATATGGCTAATGTCACTGAATTGATTGGTTCCACGGCTAGCTGAAGCAACTAGCGAAGCTGAATAGTATGCCTGGGTAATCCAAATTGTTCACTGGCTTTCTATCTTTTTGGTTGGGAATATATTTCAACAGTTATAATACCTAAATTCTAATATTATGGCCTGAGAATGTTATTCTTTCCGTGATGTTTTGAACCAGCCTAAACAGTATTACAAAAAATGCTTCTAATATATAAGAAAAATTAGTAATTACTCCTGTGTACCTTACATTCGGTAAAATATGTTAAACAATCAATCAGCAGTTATGGCAAATATAGTCTAAAAAGCCATTTTGCTATAGTGTGAGCAATGAGCATTTCCAAAATTTGCTCTGAGAACCCCATCGATGCTCGAGAGTACTTACATTTGCGGGAGCACTTTCTCCGTTGTGAAGAGTTTGAAATCTTATATTAAATGTAGATAAATGTTTCAGTGATTTTTCTGATGTATTTTGCATGTTTTAGCTTGATACATGACAAACAATGAATGATTGTTTGCACAATAAAGTGCTTGTTTTGTATTGCCCTGTTAACCTATTTCTAACATTATTGTGGCCCGCGAACAATGCAAAAATAATTGTGTGGCCCGCGAAGGCAACAACTTAGGACCACCCTGGCCTAAATCCTCCAAACAAGTCCATCCCTGTGCTCCATAACCCAACGATGTCTTCGTGCATAACCAAGGCTTCCTGCATAACCAATCATGTGCTGATATTTTGTGTCTTGGGTTGGTTATGAAACTCACTGGAATCATCTGAACTACTTGCACATCGTGTTCTCTACATGAAATTATTAATTGTCTACATAATATGCGTGTTGTGAACTATCTTGATTAAATGGCTCTTTTTAGATCAAATTAAAATTGGTTTAGTTTGAAATATATTAATAAAATATTGGTATTCGATCAATATGGGCAATATCAAGTATTTGTGTGTTATATTCATTAAAAAATATTTTTTGTATATATCTAGTTTGTTTCAATGATCATTAATAAATCTGTTGTCTGGGTCAAAGGTCATTTATATTCACTGTTATCCAGGATGTGCGATATTATACTTTTATTACCATGATACACATTCTCTAGAATTGCATAAAAATTGACCCGGGTGCAGTTTAAAAGTACATAGATAGTGAAAGTTTAATGAGCATTCGCAAGTGAACACCAATGGTTGGAAGCTATGCACAGTATATCCTGGTGAAGGATATAGCAGTTGGCACAGGACTTTGAACAGTTCAACACTGTCAAGAATATTAAAAATATGTGAGAAACCTTATTCACGTGATATCATTCTAAAAGGTGAATATTATTGTGTAAAACAACTTTGATCTTAGTATAATTCCTCAATTTGCTGCCAAGTTTGTGTGAGAATTTGGATGATCGGAAGCTGATTGGTTCATCCATCTACTTTATCAAACAGGTGGTTGTGTAAAAGAAAACAACCGGCCTCCCTTGATTTTAATGCACTTATTTGGAGTATATAAACCCTAGTCCTCAATATTCACTCTTCACGAAGCCCTGCACTGTGATATCACGATTAATTTCTTTTTTCAATGCAGCCTTTGCAAAATATTAACTCACCCCAGTTCTAGAATATGTTCCAAATAACCCAAATTCTTGGCATTATTTACTTACGATGAAAGTGTTAGATTAGGTAGGCAAATGTCAAATTGGAAATATTCTGGGCCTACCATAAATATTAGCTTTTTACATTTCTGTGACAGTGCCTTGTTCATAGTGAACAGCGTGGAAATGCATCGTATGATAAATATATGACTCAGAAATGATATCTATGTCAGCCCTAAAAAAGTATTATTGGGGGTAATCTTATGAAATAAGAGAATAGTATTTCCTCATTTATCAGTGGCAGATTACCCAGAGCCTGGTCAGAATTGAAAGTGGGAAAACGCCCCAAATTGAATTATGAGATGCTTTTGCTATTGTTCACCTTTTAGCCACCAACTTCATATATTTATCCCAAGTTAAATGACATTCTAAACAATCCCTATATAATTTGGCTGTAATTCTGCTCATATTTTAGTGACAAATCAACCTTTGCATATTGCATAGAGCCGTGCTGGTAAACTAGTCATAGCTCATAAGGAAATAGATTAGCTGACGTTATTCGATAATTTGATAGTGTAATAATTTACATTTGTAAGATCGAGCATGGTCCGTTCGTAAAACACACTGCTGAGACACTGGCCATGTTTGGTAAACACAATTTCTAAATAAATTGGTAATATGACGCCAATAGGTAATTTGAGAGTTGACGAAATACCAAACTATTATATCTCGATGCAGCTTAGACTTATTTTATTGCTCGAGTTGGGACTGTAGTGTGGTGTACAGATAATATACGTTACAGATTTTTTAAAGAAAACATGCTCAAAGCAAGTGCACGCGCACTCAGAAATGTTTGAGATTGATTCCTTAGCGAAGTTGGACTACAGTGCCTGGGAATATAAGTCATTATAATGTAGAATCGAGCATTAGTGAGTTCCGATTGACTCAAAACTTCAGGCAATATATGTTAATTATGACCAATAAAACAGCTTTTTGGTCGTGAATTCCACATAATTGAAGTTATTGGAAAAATTTTAAGCATCTATTTTCTCTGTCAGTACTCACAATGTGCACTTTAGTATGGAGGAAAAATAAATTACTGATTACAGGTTTGGTTTTGCAATATTAAATATACTCGCCGTTCAATATACTGTCTTTTTGCAACCAGCTTAAACAGTAACACAAAAACTGATACTTGCATGTCAAAATTTTAGTTATTATGATTAATGCCGCGATGTTACCCTCATGTCCCTCACATTTGCCGAAATGTAGTAATCAATCCATCTGCAGTAATTGTGAGCCGTTTTGTAAACATGTCTTAGGTAAGTAAAAAGCTGACCATCAATTGTTCCTCTAGTTTGAAGGTGAACAAAGTTTTAATCAAATTCCTTGGGAATAAAGCTAGTGGAGTTTCATTCTAAACAAGGGAAGAGTGCACAATTGCATTTCAAAAAAAAATTGTTTAATTTAATTTGTTTAATGAGGGGTAGGGGAGATATACATGGCTAGGCCTATGCCACGGACAGTGTTTGAACTAATGTTGAATTTGACAGAGCCTATGGCGCAATATCTAGCTGCCACTTGGAGGCTGGCAAAGAATCTATTTGCTTGAATCTAAATTCACTTGTGCTGGGAGTAAAAGTAAACAGTAAACTCAAGTGAAGCTACATTGAGATAGAATATTATGTTTCACCAAATTTTTAGTTGAGACTTTTGAGGGTCTCTGCAACGTTTGAAAAGCATTGCTACAGGACATTGCTGTTATAAATTAGGATTTGACTGTTTTGTAAACTTTTAATGTTACTTCAATATCTACTACTACCATTCGATTACTATTCAATTACATTGTGTTGCAAAAACGAAATTCTACAATGACACGAATATTTACTAACTAATCAAATATTACAGAACCTAGTTACTTCAGCACCTTTACTGCTATTGAGGCTTCACATCCAGGATTCTGAAAATGGCTGATTTTAAAAAAACTTCAAAGATTACCCACTCATTGAATGTACTTACATCATTCAATGAACTAAAACAATCCGACTGCATTTGTAACTTCACAATCAAAGTTGGTGACAAATCTTTCAAAGTCCATCGAGACCTGCTTGCCGCAGTATCAAAGTACTTCAAAGGCATGTTTTCAAGTAACATGGTTGAGGCTCGGAATGGTTTTGTCATTATGAAAGACTTATGTGCTGATGCTGTGTGGCAGTGTGTAGATTTCATGTATACTGGTGAAGCAAATCCATCCATGGAATCTGTTGAGAATACTTTGTATGCTTCCCACTTAATGCAGCTTGATGTATTATCAAGTATATGCTTTAATTTCATGGAAAATAATCTGTCAGTGCAGCATTGCCTCCTAGTGGTCAGGTTGGCAAAGCTTTATGATCATACAGAGTTACAAATCATTGCTGAGCGATTCATTGTGGATAATTTTGAGTCTCTGATTTTGGGTGAAAATCTTCTACATCTGAGCAAAGAAGAACTCGTATTTTATGTGCAAAAATTGGATAAAAAGCATGAAGTAGTTTGGCATGCTGTGAGAAGATGGATTTCAAACAAAGGTGAAGAAATAGGATCAGAATTAATGGAGATTTTGCATTTTGGAGAGTTTCCTTTTAAATTTTTACTCACTGATCTTCTAAATGATTCTTTGGTCGAAAGTTCTTCAGATGCAAAAAGTTTTGTCGTTAAAATATTGCTTTCGAATATCGATGGGTTGAAAAAGAATTTGTCTCTCGACACTTTATTTATTTTGAGGAAGATTGACCCAATCGAAAACCAAGTTTGCTCAGAGGATGTCAGAAATATAATCAATGAATTTATGGCTCAAAATTTTGAACAGATCGTACCGATGGATGAATTTATTGAGTTGAAAAAGGATGAAATTTTTTTCTTGTTCAAATCTCCGGAAACAAAATATTTTCCAGAGAAAATTAAATGGGAAGCTGCACTGAAATGGGCCAAACAAAGTCGTCGTCATCAGAAACTTTTTTCAGACTTGTTCGAGTTGATAAAACTTGAGGAATTTTCTGATGATTTTATTCGACAAACAGTCCGAAATGAACCTTTAGTTAAAGAGTCGCATAAGTGTAAAGATTTATTGCTTGATGTTCTCTATCCCAAAGCTCAGGCTGGTAAACTTGTCCCACATATTGCTGTCTCAACGCAGTGTGGTATAAAGGCTCTGAATCTCCAAACAAATCAATGGTCTAGTTTGCAGTCAGATTATGAGGTTGGCTTCCATCTTGTCAATGCTGAGGGACGATTTTATGCTTCAGATGGGAATAAATTGTCTTTGCTACAAGAAGGTCAATGGATTAAGAAGACCAAGCTTGAACGGGCGAGTGATATGTTCGACCGTATGGTTTATCTCAAGGGTGGGATTTATATTATTAACGTCGGTAGGCATACAATTCGATATGACATTGCCAAAGACAGATGGGATAAAAATTTACCTCCATGTGATCTTGATGATGGTTTTTGTGCTGCGGCCTCTCATGAGTTTATATATGCGATGGGAGGTGGTTCAATACCAGGAGAAGCAAACGTATACGATCCTAAAACGAATAAATGGTCTTCCTTGCCACAGATGATTTATGAATCTTATGATAGTGCAGCAGTCGTTTTTCAAAGTATGGTTTATGTACTGGGAAGTTGGGATGTTCCCAACCTAGTTCAATGTTATAACCCTGTTGTTCGCTCATGGACAGAAATTTCAAAAATGAAGATGAATAGAGAATATTTCGGTGCATGTGTTATTGATAATAAGATGTTTGCAGTTGGTGGTGCTATAAGTGGAGGCCTGGCTAAGGATTCTATTGAAACATACAATCAAGAATCTGGTGAATGGGAAATAGTCTGTGAATTCGATCGATCCGAGGTGCAATGGAGTTATTGCTGCAGTTATGCTTGCTAAATCTGTAATCAGTGGTAAAGATTTATGATAAAAGGAGATATATTCGGGTACTCCAAAAGTATGGCGCACAACCTAAACATAGTATGCTTACCAGGTTACGGTTCAGGTTGTGCGCCATCTTGGTCCGAATCCTTCGGGAGCGCATATATTTGTTTCTTGTATATATTGACTGTATTAGTTTTTCTATTGGGTCATTCACGTTGGTTCAAGTTAATTAAAATAGTTTCTGTAGCTTTGGTATTTCAGTGGTCATCATAACTTAAAATCTTAAAATGAAATGCGGCCAACAATCTTCTTATTGCTTTTAATCTGAAAATTGACACTTTTTCCTTAATTTTATATTAACTTCGGACACAAAATTGTACAAAGTGATGGGAGTTGGTGAAATATACTTGTTTCTTGTATATACTGACTAAACGATTGTGAAGCTGGTGATTCAACAGTTTTTTTTTAATTTAATATGAATTTCAGACACAAAATTGTATATCATATTGTGATTTAGTTGACTCTAGTTTATAATCACCAAGAAACTTCAATATCAGACGTGTTGTGATTTGGCTCATTTGCTATCAATTAGCCAAAGTTTAACAATTGTGTTTCCTTAGTAAATAGTTGTGCTCTAATTTTTCACAATTTTTTAACGATTCAGTAAGCACTATAATAGAATGTATTTATCGAATAAATATAGTTATTGATAAATATGAACTCTCCTTGATGTTTAATTTCCTCCTTATCCTAAGTTTGAATTTTTGAGTGGTTAAATTTCAATGCCTGGTGTTTATTTTTTCTTGGTATCAGCATTTTTTGCATTACTTTGCTTCATGTTGTCTATACGCACTTGCTTTATTTGTAATGTTGCATTCCATATGTGCTTGATGTAATATTTGAGTATTGTAAATTCCTAAATCATAAGATTGATACTTTCCACAAATGCTAATTTTTAAACTTCAATACACCACTGAAGATAGGACTTTTTTATTTTAAGCAGCAAATTTATTTACTCATTGTGCTATATACTCCATATTCTACTTATTCTAATGTATATCGCTATTCAATATGTATGCAATTATTAACTTCTGGTGATCTAGATTAAACTATAGCTAGGTTGCCAGTAATCTGTCCTCAAGTACAGGGTTGGTTGAAGTCTTGTGTATTGAAGAATAGTGTACAATCCAGTGATACGCACTCAACTTTGTTCGAAACGATGGCTTGGAACCCTAATTCTGAATATGTGACATTTTAATATAGTGCGCCTGATCAATCTACAATGAATTTCAACCCGCTTACCAGTTAGGTACTACGCCCAGTAATAAACTTTTCCCGAGTGATGCCCGAGGACTGTACAATGGTCCATATATGATGGTACTTATTAATGAAGAGTTACTCAGAAATGCATGTTGCACATCAAGCTGTAGTTGTTTCACCAGAGCAAATACCAATGACAGAAAGCTACCCTACCCTTCTACAAGTAGTAAGACCACAGAATCACCCATCGGGACAGATGGCTTCACAATCATCGATGATTCATTCCTTCGGACAAACACTTTCAAACCAACCAGTAGTCGGAATAGCTGATCCGCCAATATATTCTCAATCACAACATTATCTGCGACGTCTATACAAATCCATCCCAGTGCTCCCTACACAACGATGCCTCAACAATACCAAAACCCACCTTCCTTATCTAGGCAATCACCCTGCAATCCTTCAATTTGAACAGCGATTGGAAGAACTGTATGTGTGAAAATGTAGTTTACATCACATGCTGATAATTCGTGTCTCGGTGAGGTTATAATTCTATGAATAATATAATAAAATAGTTCTATGCAATCTTATTCATCATCACAAAACATCGTATACACAAGATAGCTCTTTATTTTAACTGTCAACTCATTCTAAATTTGTCATCTTTTTTTTTTATTTTAGAGACAATATTATATGCCAGCTACATGCAATTTAATGAATCCCATACTATGTGAAAGTAGAAGAATATTTTATTTCATCATCCTGTTATCATTTTTTGTATAGTTGCTTGATTGGTATACCCGTGTTGTGTGTACCAGGTTAGGATGAGTTCATAATTTTATTGCGTTTTATTTATTTTAGTTCTATTATGGATACAGGGACTGTCGGTGTTATCCAAGTGAATCTACCCCCCCCCCCTGCTCATAGATTTCAGTCGCTTTAAACAACTTGATTTAAACTGGTCGAACAAAATTAGTTACCTTCATATTGGTACACACGCTTCTACAGCGCCGCTTAATTAACTTTTAATTATTTTAACAGAAATTGGTTTTACTTTTGTTTATAAATTTTCATTTACTTGGATATTTTTTTAAATTTACAGTGAAATTATCTGAAACTAGACTTAGCAGTGTGGAAAGAGAAAAATATTTTATTATTTGAATATATAATATTATACAATATTTTGAGAAAGATCCTAGACAGGCATCCTGTGCTGTATATGAAACTACCATTTTTGTTGGAGTAATCTGACTAGTTCTTCATTGCCCACAACATTTATCGCATTATTTAATAAGACTATTTTAGCCATGAAGCTTTCTTCCCCTTTTTACAGCGCTTCAGAAGTATGTGCACCAATATTGGAGGTAATTAATTTTGTTCGCTTACTCTACATCAAGTTATGTAAAAGAACTAAAAGGGTTCACTTGGCTAACACAGACAGTCCTCGAACTCGTAATAGAACTAAAACAACAAAATGGGATTAAAATATTGGCCTAACCCTAACCTGGTACACATACTACGGGAGTACATTTCTTTTTACATCCTATTTTTGTAGTTCATTGTCTTTCCATGGCTATTCTTTTTAGGATGGTGTTAATTTTAGGATTAGAATTTTAACTACATACTTGTATTTAATATTGAAACGTTCTCAATGTTTATTTTTCTTGCCATATTGTTCATCCAATGTAATAAACAATGAGTATTATCATAACATAGACCTCCATATCACAGCTGCGTAGTCCTGTAAAATGTACGCTCCAAACTTATAGCTTGCAGTGGCCCAACACTCTACTTCGGTTTGACAATAATTTTTACTCAGACCCCAAGTTTAGACACCCCAAGGGAAACAAAAACTGCTAAGGTTACTTACTCTTTAATCAGTTCCAGTCAAAAATTTGGACTATAACAGGTTTGGAAATAGGAGTTTACAGTCACTCGTATGAGAAATACTAGTTCATTCAAATGCGTCCTATTATTCCAATTTAATCGTAGTATCGATGCTATAACTGCATGATATCTGCATTTTAATACTTGTTTTTATTACAATCATCGCACCCTACTATGTTGTGTTAACAAGTTCCATGATCTATTCTTCGCAATTTTCGTTCACTTCACAAAGTCATAAATGCAGAATGTCCGTTGTGTGAGAAGAAAATTGAATATTTGAACTGTATTCTAATATGATGGTCTATCACATATCGAGTATGTATGTGTTATATTATTTAACAAATATTGTTGCATTCAGAGTTTTATTGAGCCTTAATGTACAGGGTGGCCCAAAAGTAGATATACAGTTTTGAACTATTTTAGAAGCTACTTGCAGTTCACTTTATGTTACTTGTTAAGTACCACAAAAATTGCTTATTTTTTTCAGATAATAAATCTAGCGTGAATTTTACATTAGTTTTCTAGCTGCTTGGAAGGTAATAAAAAATAAACGAGAATATCGGTTGGAATCGGTTTCGATTCATCCGCTCTTGTAACTTGCGCACTGCGCATCGCACACACACACTCGGCAGACACACAGACAGACAGACATACATACAAATACCTATCAATATACTTACCGATCTTGAGATCGATAAGTAATAACTGTATACCTTCTTCTGGGCCACCCTGTATATGTTGTACATATCCTAATAAGGTCAAAGGTTATTTATATATAACTAACTCTGATAGTTTTGAAACTTGAATATGCATAACAATATTTTCAAGTCTAGTTTTTGATCTGCCAAATGTTAAAATTGTGTTTGGAATTTCACTCACATCATCCATATAAACAAAGATCGAGACACCTATAATATTGCTGCTAATCTGAATCGAAAAATGACGTGTTACTGTTTCAAATCGGGGAGGAATAGAGTGTGTGCTGGATATACTTATTATCCTAAGAATATGATTTTTAATCTGTAGGGAGCAGGCTTGGCTATGTCCAAGAATAAGCTTAACGAATCAAAATTCACCTAAATATTTGAAAACGTCTAAAAATATGTTGAAATCCATATAATATCATTATGAGCCCCCACGTTTTCTTTACTTAACTGGTATATTTATTTTGCACATAAAAATGTTTATCCCCAGTGTTCACTCTCAACAAAAATCTAGGCCAGGGGCGAGCAAGGTGTTTAGACAGGTACTTTATTGTTTGCATTTCTGTATTATGTAAACCTATTTTCAACGTGTTTTTTAAATAAAGCATTCTTTCACCTTACTATCTGTTATTTGTAGCTTATTGTTAGCTAGTTATTTTTGAGGTGGAGCGCGAGACTTGACTAATTCTAAAACGGGTGCGCGAAAAGAAATCTCTGAACTAAATGAAAGCTTAAAGGCAACCAAGTATGATGACTTGTTTTGAACGTCACACGTTTTAAATTCGCAATTGCGCCATGATTGATAAACATGAAATTGAGTATCTTAAACGCATAGGCGTAGCCAGGCGGACCGAGGGGCCATGCCCCCCTAACAAAAGTAATTCAACATTTTTTTTTCTAAATTCAATTTTGCGACACTTGCAGTGAGACGTAAATTCATACATCAATATACAAAAAAAATTGGCCCACAAAAAAATAATTGGCTGACTCACTCTTGCATAAAGGCCATGCTTGGTCTGGGAGTTTACGTGTACTTGGATTTGCAGGTTGGTGTTTATCATGAATCTGTTGAATTTCATCGTACAATTGAGCTAATATTTCATTCATATTCTAATACAACCGCGGGTCGCATCTTAACATAGGCTATCTAGTAGATACAAGCACAAAAATTTGGTTATTGATCTTGTGACATGCGTTGTTCGCTTTGCACAAGCTAGCTGTTAAGACATTGTAAAGCCATATGCATAGATATTAAATTGGACTCATGAGGTATAGAATCCACAATGCAAACGGAATGGAATTACTTGCACATACCAAATCAAATTAAAAACTCATTTCAAGTGCCGCAGGTAGCACACCCCTTCTCCAAATAATGAATTTTCGAATAAGTTATTCTGAATTAGTCCTAAAATCAGAGACTTACTAACGTGTTTCCCGAAAAAAAAACGGGTCTGAATTCCAAATATGATTTCAATATAAACCCTCCCATTAAAATAGGACCTAGTCGATAGCGCAAAATTTTGTAGGTGCGAAAATTCAATTTATACAATTATGGGGTCGACTGAAAAATCCCCCCCCCCCCCCCCGGACCCGCCTGGGGAGGAGATTCTTCAGTTGATCCCCTGAATTGTATGTGATGGCATTATTGCTGGTGTCAAATTTTATAATGTTCATTCCCCACCACAACTTTTTTCTTTTCTTTCGGTTTATATGGGATAGGATATATATGCCGAGGGACAGGGAAGTCGATGTGACGCCTTATTCATATGGCGAACCATGGCCTTTCGTCCGGGTACCAGTTCATATAGGGTATGGGATTAGTTGTTTGTTTTCACGAGCATTGTTTGAATAGACTCATGGAGTTACTATATGGTTCCTGTATCTTGTGGCTCTTTAGTGCTCAACTGTAACTTATCTCAGGCTTCTGTCTCTATTATTAGTGAATGCGTATAAGATTGCTTTGGCAAATATGTTTAGAAAATCTTATTAACATACCACATCAACATATCCCAAATTCATTGGTGGTGAAATATCAGGATGTATGTATGTATTTTTATTTGCCTCAAATATGTATATATATGTATGTATATTTTCAGAAACTTCCTTTTCTTAGTGTTTTTCAGAACAACCCATATTAGTCTAGTGAGCTTTTACTGGAGTATATAAACCCTAATCCTCCATATTCACTCTCAAAAAAGCTCTGCGCTGTGGTGTTACAGTCAATTTCTCCTTTCAATGCTGCCCTTGCTTAAAACCTTGGCCACACCATTTCTAGAATATGTTCCAAATAACATAAGTCCTTGGCACCCTGTACTTACAATGAAAGTGTTAGATTAGATAGGAAAATGCCAAATTAGAAAGATTCTGGGCCTACCATAAGTATCAGCTCCTCACATTTCTATGACAGTGCCTTGTTCCGAGGGAATACCGTGAAAATGCATCGTATGATAAATATATGACTCAGAAATGATATCTGTGCCAGCCTTATAAGAATTAAGGTAGGTAATTTTGTAAAAAAAAGAGAATAGTTTTTTTCTCATGCATCAGTGGCAGATTATTCAGAGCCTGGTCAATATTGATGGTAGCAAAACGTTTCAAATTGAATTGTAAGATGTTTTTGCTATTGGCCATCTTCTAGCCACCGACTTTATATATTTATCCCAAGTTAAATGACATACCGTGCAGTCCTTATATAATTTGACTGGAATTCTTCTAATATTTTAGTGACATATAACCTTTGTGTACATATATTTGTGCATTGCATATTGCATCGAGTCATGCTGGTAAACTAGTCATAGCTCATAGGGAAATAGATTTGCTGACGTCATTCGATAATTTGACAGTGTTTTCGAGCATGGTCCCTTGGTAGAAGACACTGCTGAGACACTGACCATGTTTGGTAAACACGATTCTAAATACACTGGTAACATTACGCCAATAGGTAATATGGTGACTGGAGTTAACGAAATAACAAACTGTTGATGCCGCTTAAACTGGATTATTTTACTGCTCGAGTTGGGACTGTAGTGCGGTCTACATATACTACATGTTACATCTTTTTTCGAAGAAAATATGCTCAGAGCAGGTCCTTGCCCACTCACTCGGAAATGCGGGAGATTAATCTCGGAGGGAAGTTGGACTACAGTGACTGGGACATCAGTATATTGTATAATCGCGCATTAGTGAATTCCAATGGACTCGAAACTTCAGGCAATATATGTTAATTGGGATCAGTACAACAGCTTTAGGTCGTGAATTCCACATAATTAAAGTTATTGGAAATTTTTTTAAACATACTGTAACATGGGAGTGCTGCCAGCTGATGGAATGTGACCAGAAAAACTTTTTTGTAGGCATTTGACAGTAATATTCCATCCATATGTTTGTAAATCCTATCCTTTGCATAATGATATAATACCGGGTGGTCCAAAGTTGTCGGCCTCACGGGCCACACTAATATTTTTGTATTGTTCGCGAGCCATTATGATTATTATTTGTCATTTATCAAGCTGGCAAGTTGGCAACGAGTTTGTTTTCATTCAGAAATGCTTGAATATAACTTCACTTGTTCTTGAAAAATGAACAGTAAACTCAAGTGAAGCTACATGGAGATAAAATATTGGGTTTTAGCTGAATTTTTAGTTTAGACTTTTAATGACTCTCCAACGCCTTTAGAAAGTTTTGGGAATATTTGGATGTCAGTGTCAAGTGCAAGTCATGTATCTAACAAATCTTGTTCTTCTGTGAGAATTCTGCGAAACTGCTTATTTTCGGTTATTTATAATCAAGGATTAATGCTATATCATTCATCAAATATATTAGCACATGCTATGTGGTGTGGCAAGAAAAGTACTAAACATTGGTGGATAGATACACAGCAGTGCGAGTTGTATAAAAGAAGAGACTAAAATTTGAAAAATTAGGTTGCAATGTTTGAAAAGCATTGCTCCAGGGCATTGCTGTTATAAATTAGGATCCGACTATTTTGTAATCTTGAATCTTATTTAAAGTTCCATTACTTCTACTATCGTTCTACTACTATTCAATTTCTATTTCTCTATATCAGGGATGGCGAACCTTTTTCAATGAATGGGTCAAAAACTATAATTTTATCGCGGAACAGAAGAGAGTGGGTCACAGATATTTAATTCACGTTTGTATCTATAAGAAACTTCTGAAACAAATCTTATAATCTGGTGTTGGTGTAGTTTTGGGCTTTACTTATGCAGCACTTCTATCAGGGACTTTTTATGGCACTCGGTTAGAGTACGAAAAAAACGCATATGAATTACCAAAAATGTTTAGGATGATGCGGTAAATTATTTTGCGGTTCTAGTGTTTGGAGGTAATGTATGTATTGCGGAATATGTATAGAATTGGAATTTACGCAAAATTCTGGGTTAAGATAGATATATATACTTTACTGCTGGATATATCTGTATACCTAGCCTTTGAATCTCATAATTTGTTGAGTAGACTTTTAAAAGCTGGATAAATAGGGATATATATTATGGTATACCCTCACAAAATACTTTAAATCTCAACGATCACAAGAAAAGAAGAAGGCAGTCGGCGAGCAAAATATTGAGAGTGTGATTTAGAAAAAGAATCTGATTCGATCAAGTATTCGAGCTGTTGATATTTCAGGGGTCAATCAATTGTGTTCCCTCTAAGAAAATGTTACATTGAGCAAATGTTTGTTTTACTGCGCATGAATATTTTAGTGCTGAGCAGAGTCTTAAATCAGGGGTGTGCAACTTTCAATACAGGCGGGGTAGATACAAATACCTGAGTAAAACCGCGCGTTGCAGGTTATTTAACATAGGCTTTCTAGTAGTTTCGGGCACATAATTGGTTATTGATCTTATGACATGCGGTGTTCGCTTTGCACAAGCTCAGGTATAGCACTCAGGTTTAGGCTTTGCAACGCGAAGGGATGGAATAACTTGCACATACTAGATTGAACTGAAAACTCTGGTTGTGCGGGCCACACACTATTCAAAATCGGCGCTTGTCCGCGGGCCGCAGGTTGCACCGTCATAATGATTCACATACTATTACAATAATATGATTGCACTGGCAATCTATGCTAGGCTAAAACTAGCCCTTTCCAAATGATTTCCAATAATTCAAGGCACTTGGTATGTGACATCACAATGAACAGTGGAGAGCAGACTACCTATTCTAGCTAGGCGTTAGAAAATATGAGTCCGTGTTTGTGATTTAGAAGCGTAATGTTGCAAGTGCATAAGAATGAAAATTTAACTGCACAACGGGTCTGTTGGCACTCATTACTTTGCTCAGAGATGAGTGTTCTTTACTGAGTGCATATAATGCACCACCATAATTTCAAATAGTTCCTGTAGCTCTTGGCATTTCAGTGACATGACATGTGACTTAACTAATAGGTGAGTTCCCTTCACTATGGAGTAAGTGCGTATAATGCACCACTGACATTTTAAATACCTCCAATAGTTTTTGACAGCCGGTATAGTTGTCAGTCGGTAACTCCGCTCAGAGATGAGTCTCATTTACTACTGAGTGAGTTCGCACAGTACCATAATTACACAATCAGGATTATAGTTTTTGTAGCTCTTGACATTTGAGTGATAAGTTAAATGTGAGATGGGACTATTTTACCTATGAGTGAGGGCTTGTAATGTGCTGCCTTATTTTTGAATAGTATTTACAGCTCTTGGCATTTAACCTTAACATAGGTATCTTTACAAATTGGGATTTGACTTTTTTGTAACCTTGAATTTTGTTTTAATCTCTCATTCTCTATATTGTGTTGCTAAATTGATATTCTCTAATACTTGAAATATTTACCTAATATACAAATAACAGAATCTGGTTAGGTTAGCATCTTGCTGTCATCTACACTTATTATTGAAGCTTAGCCCTTAGTATTTATCTGCTAAGATGCAAAAAATAACTGAATTCAAACAATCTGCAAAGATTATCCACTCATTGAATGTACTTACATCATTCAATGAACTAAAACAATCCAACTGCATTTGTAACTTCACAATCAAAGTTGGTGACAAATCCTTTAACGTTCATCGAGATCTGCTTGGCGCAGTATCAAAGTACTTCAAAGGCATGTTTTCAAGTAACATGGTTGAGGCTCGGAATGGTTTTGTCATTATGAAAGACATCTGTGCTGATGCTGTAGGGCAGTGTGTCGATTTCATGTATACTGGTGAAGCAAATCCTACTATGGAATCTGTTGAAAATACCTTATATGCTTCCCACTTAATGCAGCTTGATGTATTATCAAGTATATGCTTCAATTTCATGGAAAATAATTTGTCAGTGCAGCATTGCCTTCCAGTGGTCAGGTTGGCAAGACTTTATGATTGTACAGAGCTAGAAACCATTGCTGAACAATTCATTGTGGATAATTTTGAGTCTCTGATTTTGGGTGAAGATTTTCTACATCTGAGCAAAGAAGAACTCATATTTTATCTGCAAAAGTTGGAAAAAATCATGAAGTAGTTTGGCATGCTGTGAGAAGATGGATTTCAAACAAAGATGAAAAATTTGGATCAGAATTAATGGCGACATTGCATTTTGGAGAGTTTCCTTATAAGTTTTTGCTCACTGATCTTCTAAATGATTCTTTGGTAGAAAGTTCTTCAGATGCAAAAAGTTTTGTCATCAAAAAATTACTTTCAAATGTTGATGGGTTGAAAGAGAATTTGTCCCTCGACACTTTATTCATTTTGAGGAAGATTAGTCGGATCGAAAACAATGTTTGCCCAGAGAGTGTCAGAAAAATATTCAAAGAATTCATGGCTCAGAATTTTGAACAGATTGTACCGATGGATGAATTTATCAAGTTGGAAAGAGATGAAATTTTTTTCTTGTTCAAATCTAAGGAAACAAAATATTCTTCAGAGAAAATTAAATGGGAAGCTGCATTGAAATGGACCGAACAAAGTCATTGGCATCAGAAAGTTTTTCCAGACTTGTTCGAGTTGATAAAACTTCAAGATTTTTCTGATGATTTTATTCGACAAGCAGTCAGAAATGAACCTTTGGTTAAAGAGTCGCATAAGTGTAAAGATATATTGCTTGATATTCTCCAAGCCAAAGTTCAAGCTGGTAAACTTGTCCCACATCTTGTGGCCTCAACAACGACTGGCATAAAGGCTCTGAATTCCCAAAGAAATCAATGGTCTAGTTTGGCGGTCGGAATATGTTGCCACGCCAACCTTTTCCGGGTGCGGTGCCGCCTACCAACAGACTAATGCACCAGCGGCTAAACTTTCAACATTTGCCCCGATTGCCCCAGCTGCAAGATTTCAGTTCGTCAACTCTTCATCCAATCAAAGCAATGGCAAGTTACAGTTTGGAACCGGATCTAACCAGTCGAAACCAGTGCAGCCTGCAGAGAACAAATCAGGGATTTTTGGTAGAAAAAATCCAGCAAGCAATAACACACAACAGAAACAATCAACTGGATTTAGTTTTGGAGCTTCTGCACCACCGCCTTTCAATTTGTCGTAAGTTAATGAGTTTTTTATGTAATTATTTTTATTTGCCTTCCACTCTATAGAAACAACATCCACTAGTTTTTAATAGGACCTATTCAAATATATGTATTTTGCCTCAAACCGGGCAGTCACTGATAGGTATGGGCATGGGTGGGCAAGGTTTTTGGTTGGTGGGCCATACGACAAAAGTTATATTTTATGAACAATATTTACAGAGTTACAAAAGTAAAAGGGATCAAAATTTGGTTTTAGTTTGGTTGTGTCATCATCAGGCGGGACAGATTGAATTGCCCAGCGAGTCGGATTTTACCCATGTCAGTGTATAGGTTTACTATATTTTGGAATAACGGAGTCCTTCTCATTCAGCATTGCGTACTAACAATAATGAATTTTATTATTCACCTCTTCCAGTGGTTCTTCTCACTCTGAACAAGGCTGTACGCAAGCAAGTTGTGAGCTACAATCTTTTGAAAGTTTTCTCAGTTCGACATTGCCTACCTAATTTATTACACCCGGGGTGAAGCATGGAATTCAAACCCCAGATTTTTACCCAACATAGTTTTCGTAACAAGAGTAAATTTTAAATTCTACTCTCTTTTATTTCAGGGGTGCTCAACCGGCTACACCTCACATCGCTTTCAACAGAAGCACGACAAATACCGCACCTCCTTCTGCCACTCCCGAACGGGTCAGACAAACCAGAAAAAAAACTTGAAAATAAATGAAATAATATTGTGTGAATGTATTTAGATGATATAGCATAACAGTACGAAGCATAATGCTTGTATTGATAATTGCTTTTACCTTATATGGAATTGTGAATTTCAAGTGACAATGTTGCATATTTTGTTGTATTCGAATGAAAAATTTGGTCATTTGGTCAAGAAAAATCCGTTTTTTTTTTATCTGATCGAAACAAATTTGGATATTGTATATTTTTCTCGAATTTTCCTCGTCAAAACAGTGTTAGCAAATCACGTGGCAAATGTAGTCTCTCGCTGGACAATACAAAGCCCAGCAGCGGAAATATGCGCCTATTTTTTGGTGTCGCCAAAAATCTCGCCACCGTTACCTACCTATGATCCTTCTATGATCTTGTTTCTTCGCGTTTTTGCCGTCACCTTCGTCTTTAGCTAACACTGAAAGTCTGATCCATATTAGGTTGTCTCTTTTTTTCTGCTTTTTCATTTTTCAATTCTCTGTCTCATCATATTTTTTTTTGCTTGTACGCACGCGATGACCATAGTTTAGCAGTTAAATTTTACTTAATTTCCTTTTTTTCAACAGCATTTTTTATATAAATAATGCGTTTATTTGTCCGTTTGATTCAAGTGATTTTCTATCAACGACAGACTACTTTAGTTGATATTCTACATCCATCCATTACGGGCAACCATGTTATGCTTTTTGCTTCATATTATCCATTTGCTTTTACTTTTTTCATTTGCAACATAATAAAGTTGATATTAATTATTTAACAGAATTGAAAATATTTTATGAAATTCAATGATTGCTGCAAAAAAAATGTATCCAAATAAACTACTTTTGTAATTCAATCTGAAAAATATAAAACTCTGTGATTTACTGTGAGAATGGCTTTTAATGACACTTTTGGATTTGAATGTGGATATTTTTATTATCTTCATAATTTACTCATTGTAAGTCATGTCATTCTGCACCAGATGAGTCAAATACCTGACCATTTTATATTTTGTTTTAATTGTTGTGCCTATATATATATTTCACAATTTTGAATGTTCAGAATTATAGTTCTGTTGGAGTGAAACTGCTTTAGTCATATGGGTGGTCTTATAGTTTCTCTGAAAATTTATACTTAGATTATTTTCAATAAAAACTGAAATACAGTTCAGTGGAAAATTTGCATTTTGAAAGATTGAAATATGACCTTGTAGAATTCAAAATTTCAACTTTAATAAAAACATACGAAACTCTGGCTTTGCAGAATGTGACTTCAGCTCCTCTAACCAATAGGTGAAATCTTATTCAACTTTTGTGCCTATATATATATATGTTTAATGTTATATATATTCTAAATTAAAAATCTGCTAAATCATTGTTTTTGTCATATTTAAAAATTTGATTTTCTTCAAAAATGCTGATTTTATAGATCTTTGACTTATAATTTCTATATTATATACTTAGAATATTTACTATTTAAATGCAATTGTGTGTTTACTATATAATAAATATGCAGTTTGTGTGTTTACTATATAATAAATATGCAGTTATCAATTTATCAGTGATATAGAATAAACTATAGCTGGGTTGTCAGTAATTTATTCACAAAGACAGGATTGGATTAAGTCTTGTGTATTGAAGGAGAGTTGATAATCCAGTGACCCACAATCAAGTTTGGTCGAATCGATGGCTCGGAACTCTGAAAACAGGATAGAATTTCCTTATTTATCGAGAATAAGTAAAGTAATACAGACAGCTTATATCATACCTGAGTAAAAGAAAAATCTACAGAGAGATTAATCGGTACTTCC